TCAAATGAAGTTACATTAGGAGCAAATACATTTTCATCATAAAGTTTTTTTTCAATCTCAAACAAAAGCAAATTGCTTCAATTGTAAAACAATGAAGGGACACTGAATATTCATATCTAAAAGAAAGTGGGAAAAACAACATAGCTGACAAAAAAGATTATGTCAAAATCATGAATCCAAATAATTTGAATTACCTCATACACAAATGTGTTAACAGATTCATTGTCTGGAACAGCATCTCTTCCCTTGCAGGCAATCTAAATGAAAATACACTTTAAGAGTGAAAAGGACTTTATCTTAGATTAATCCTAAACTACCGGAGTGCATCTCACTTTCTCACCTTGACATATTTAGTACCTTGTCTTGTCCATTCAGTTGGTGAATAGTACCGAGTGGTATTTGTCAAGTCAATCACTAAACCTATCTGATAAAATAAGTGGAGGAAAAAAATATGTCAACACAGGTAATTAGCTGCAATCTCTTTAAAATAATTTAAATTGAATAAAGTGTCCTGGAGTTTGTGATGCTCCCTTCAACAATAAATAGGAACAAGATATTAAAGAATGAGAGAAGTGCATTAGCACTTAGCAGAATAAATGTTATTTCAGATATCTATTACAAGCAACTTCTGCTTGTTAATTCATGATATTTGCACTGTAAATCATATTATTCAATAAATAATAATAATAATCTAAAATTTAACTAGATTTATGTCCCTCTTGTGACTATTAGAAGCCTCTGCATCACTGTACAAATAACAATTCGTAAGAATTGAACTGAGAAATACGAATGTTTTTTCTAACAAAAATTGCTTCAAATCTGTGACCATGCGTAAGGAAAAAAACAGAAGGCAGGACAAAACGAATATCATGTGCATTATTATCACGGCCATATTAGGTAGCATGCAGTACTTACATCTCTTCCAGCTTTTCTTTGTTTATTAACAACTTGCTTGGAAGAATATCTTTTCCCAGCAGGCACAGACTCATTGAATGTTTCATCCAGGGGAACTTTAGAAGGTACAATCCTATCTATTGGCTCACCAGATCCAGGGCAATCCAACCAGCCTGATAATAATTAAAAAATGATAATTTAAATGTAATAATACATAACTTAAAGTCTACTTAGCATAGGTTGATCAATTAAGAATTACATGGGGGAATTCAACATGATAAAGAAATCCGTAGCACACGATACATACCCTGAGGTGGCTCTTTAATTCGTCCATGTCTAATGATTTTATTTTGATTCATATGATCATTCCTAATCGGTTGTCGATTCAGCCTTGGTCCATCATCATGTTGCTCCCTCTTTAACTTTCTCCGTCTCTCTTCGCGTTCCTATGAAACATGGTAGTGATTAATGAAAGATATAAACAGGTAGCAATGATGGATCATAACTCAAAAGAAATTGGTTAAAATAATAATTAAGCTCGCTTTGCACCATTGCTGTTTTTAAAAAGCATCAACTACTTAATTAGTAATAAAATAAACAGAACATATGAAAACCAAATGCCGCTGGCTATATGAAACAAAAGAAGATCGCACCAAATGACCAGTTGGTCCAGATAATAGAGATGTAGATTGAGTAACTAGAAGAAAAATGTTAAGTTAAAACGTGGTTTGCCAGGTCTGTCTATTGCAGAGTATTATATTCTAATATACTTCTTATGATATCGCCTTCACCACAACCCATAATACAAAGTCCAAAAACTCCATGGTCTCATCTCAAGGGGAATGCTCTTCTAATGCTGCAAAACAGTTGCATGGTTTAAAACAAGAAAGTATTTTATTTACCCTTCGCATTATCTCAACAGCAGACTCAGCATGTTCACTCTGTGAAAAATCAGCATGCTCTTCATAAGACTGGTCATCTTCCTCAGGCGATGGTGAAGCATTCAAATCCATTCAGGATACTCCAGCTAGACCTTTAAAGCTAAGACCTAATAACAGAGGGGAAGAAAAGGCATCTTACATCAGTGTAATTACGAATAAGCAGCTTCACTTCCAAATAGTAGAGTGACTTCAGCTGCACTTGATGAGTACAATACAATCCAGACACTCAGATAAGGCACACTAAAATTAGGACAGTTTATTAAAGGAATAACTAAAGATTGAATGAGAAAATACCATCTTGTGCTAACAGAGAAATATCACTTGTGTTACAGAGACACTCAGATAAGTCACACAAAAATTAGGGCAGTGTATTAAGGATTAATTAAAAGAATGACTGAGCAATATAATTCTTGTGCTTTCAGAGAAAAAAAAATTATGTTACAGAGAAAAATGGGCAAGATGATTAAAATTCCAATTCATTGCAGTAAAGTTGACCCTTGTTAAAGTTACTCCAAAGCTTCCTGTCCTAATCTTGATTGAGGTTGATTTGGAAGTTCCAAATTCTCTATGTGTTCTTATCTATGGAAGATTTGCAGTGAACTGCAGAATCAAACCATATCAAGGATGATTCACATCTGTTTCTATACAATACTGGTAGGAGACAGATCAAATGGGGTTTTATATACTTGATGAGCAGCTATCAGGTTGTTGATCATCAAATTGCCAAACGCTTATCAGGTAAAAAATGGGAGCCAAACCACATTGTCAGTTCCGTGAAACTATACTAGGAATTCCTATGGCAAGGAATTGTTGTATTATCTGATGCCGTATCCATTGGATCCATTTTTCCCTCCGAACATCGATATGCAACTGATCATGCAACTAGACTTGGCTTTCTTTTTTTTCATGTAATTTAACTTGTTCAGTATAGAACTATGTATGCTGGCCAATTTACATTTACATATGTAGGTTTACTTGTATGCCGGCCAATTTACATTTATAATATGTAGGTTTACTTGTTCGGTAGTATAGAATTACAGGTGCCAGCAACTGATTTTTCAGAATTTCTTCTTCCTTGCTTGTTTTCCGAGCCCATGCCATGAAAGTAGTGTGCAAACTAGTTAGAAGCTACCAATCAAACTAGTTAGAAGCTAGCCGGCGGCGCAATCCACTCATCGGGCAATCATGTCCACCCCACCAATTCTAGCGACCAATCTACTCCCCCCCCCCCCCCCCCCAGATCGAATGATAGGCAACTCCAACAACCAGCAATCACAATCGGGGCGCCGGCGCGATAAGGGAGAGCAGCAAAGGAGGGGGCTCGCGTCCCATACCTCCCGGCGGCAGCGCGGGCGGAGGGGATTCGACCGATTTCTCCCGCGGCCGATGAGAGGCGGTGGAGTTGAGGGAAGGGAGACCCCCGTGGTTTCTGTGGTGGATGTTGGGGGGCCTGAGCTAGCCTAGGATTTGGGAGCTCGCCGCCGCCGCCGACGGAGACGGGCGTCGAGGTGGTGGAGGAGGCGGAAGCGATCGAATTCGATCGAGTCGGCGGCGGCGCACGCGGAGGAGCGGAGGCGGCTTTGGGTGCGGCAATATTTTGGCGTGCGTGAACCGAGTGCACAGCGTGCTGTCCTACACCCGAGAGAAAAAAGGACACGACACGGCAAAAGCCTCCTCTCGTTTGTTTGGGCCGGGCTGATCGTTTGGTTGGGCTGGGCTGATCCAGAAGTAAGTTCACATGGACCCCCTTAACTAGTGACCGAATCTGATTCGCATCAGTAGTTAAGGGAGTCAATGTGAACTAATTCCTCCCCCACAACTGTCCGACTACGCTCCGGCGTAGCAGGATGAAGCGGCGAAAAACCCTAAATCGAGCAGCGTCGTCGTCTTCCGATGAACCCGGATTGGGCAGATGGACGTGTTACCACGGCGAGGAGGAGGAGGAGGAGGAGAAGCCATGGCTGCCACCGGCCGACAAATCATCCGAGTCCATAAGGGAGTACGTCGCCGAGGCGGCGCGACGGCTACCCCTCGAGGAGATCCCGGAGATCGTCGACTGCGTCGGCGCGGTCGGATACTGCTTTGGCCTCGCCGACCCCGTCACCAACATCATCCTCAACGCCGTCGCCCACCTCGCCGCCGGCGGAGCGGAGGACCTGCCGCCGCCGCCCAAGAAGAGGACACGCAGGACGTACAGCCGTGGCTGGGGGTACATCTCATTGAACTCCTTCTGTGGCCTCCTCGCGTTCATGAAGGTGTAATTCCGCTACCTCACGGACAGCCAGGCCAGGCATTACCTCTACCTCGCCTCCTACGACCTTCTCCTCGCCATCGAGCTCGTCCACCATGACCGCCGCCGCTGTCTTCCCCGACCATCCTTGCTTCCCGACGATGGCAGGATGAAGATCGCACTCAGGATCGCCGCCGTCCAAGCAGACCACCCCGCGCCGGATAAACTGGTGCAGACCATGACAGCGCAGTACCCGTCTCATTTGCTCTCTCCTATCATGGACAAGCTGCGGGGATCGGAGCTGCTCACCAGTCACCACCCATGACGTCCGGGCCATCATGTACCTACTTAGTAGTATTAAATATACATTACTGACAAAACTCATTCCATAACATCTGAGCTAATTTGCGAAACGAATCTAATAAACCTAATTAATCCATGATTTGCTGCAGTAATCATCAGCTAATCGTGGATTAATATATCTCGTTAGATTCGTCTCGCAAATTAACTGGGGGTTATGGAATGGGTTTTGCCGATAATCTATGTTTAATACTCCTAAATAGTAAGATTTGGAGGGCTAATTTATTAGCCCTCCGGATCCAAACAAGCCCAATTGATTGGTTTTCGTGGAGCTATTTTTATTTTTTTTTACAAATTAGCCAATTGTTCTAGGGTCTGCATTCATGTTTTCTCTGTGATCTACAACTGTTTTGTGTCTCAATCCCATGGAGGAGAGGGCATATCTAGACATATATGCTGCCTCTCTCACAGCTTTTCTACACATTAGTTTGTCTTAGGATGAAAGATGTCCCCACCAACGTGAACAAAGAAATGGCCAGTACTACAAAAACTGATGAACAAATCCAAGAAGCAAAAGTGGCCTTCTGGCTTCATTGGGGAGAAAGAACAACAAAAACATCAAATCTGATCTGGGAATTTCTGTGTACCTCATCAATCTGGTACAAATCATCTGTATAAACAACCAAAGCCAACCATAGGCCTGTGATCATAAATAACATTGTCACAGTGTGTTTGTCGAAAGTGGCACACTGGTAAGCCAAAAAATATCACTACCTTAGATTGTTTGCAGACTAATTGAAGAGGAAGAGTGCTTTTATAATGGTCCTAAGAGCTACCAGGAGGTGTTACTTTTTTTTATGTAAAATTTGGTACCTCTTGATAGAAAGTACCAAAATTTACACCAAAAAATGTTACTATCTGTTTCTTCTCGCTAACCACTAAATTTCTAAAAGGAAACTACATAGCTAATATCAAAAGACAAGCCGGCCATCTGCAACAATTCTTGTACGGGGGCATGAAAGGGTCATCTGCAACAATCAGTACACTCACTGCCACGGGAGGTATCGGTTAAATCCTTGAAAAATAGTTGACGTTACCTTTTTCTGTAAAAGAAAGAACCAATTTTAATTGTAGTTTTATTCCATGCTCTAGAAAAAACACTAAATTTATATATAGTCAGAGGGCGGTTTAACCAACATAAACACTATCAAGTTCAAATCAACTTAAATATTCAAGCCGGTTCTAGTTAGAATCATGTAAAAGAGAAGTTACCTCTTCTGTGGAATCCGGCTGAGGCTCTAGGTATGATAGTTCTTGAAGTACCGGTTCCTCATTGTTAGCAGACACATCCAAATTTGTATCATTCCATTTTACTTGAATATAGCGTTTGTGGCGCGGGTCTATGTCGTTGCAGTGTTCCATAGCCTTCATGGCAGCATGACGGGACAAAAATTCTATCTCTAGATGTAACATGTTGTTCTCATCTAGAGTAGCTCCCCTCATCCTTAATATGGTGGTCTTTCTTCCCAACACGTGCTGGACAGCGGGTGCGACGAGATGAAGAGGCAGAGTGTAGTAAACACCACTGAACTTAACGACCTGTAAGGTCTTGATCTCATTCTCCATCTTTTGTCTTTTTTCAGCTTCGCTGCCCCCCTGAGAAAAGACCAGATAAATCGGCTAATTACAAGATTAATTATGAGACATGATCAATAATATTCCCAGTGAGAAAATTGGTGGCATTTGTGAGCATATATAGGGATGACAACATGATTCTATTAATTCTAGAAAAAAAAACCTGAACATTTTTTGGCCAAATTTGAAGATTTTTTTTCTAAATTAAAAAAAATGAAAACTTTCATCCGAAATCTTTACCTATCGGGGTGGGAGATCGAGAAGTCAAACCCTTTATGGCTACCATGTTCACAATTCACAAATCTGAGAATAATAATAATAATAACAATAATAAAAAGGTGGCTCTTTTGCTCATCGCCGGCTAATGCCTCGCGGCTCGAGCCCCATCGCCGGCCGCCACCACCCCGCGTGGCCCTGGCGTCCCCGTCCAGGCTGCCACCGTGACTGCCACCTAGCTAGCAGCCGATTCCTATGCATGTAGTCGGCATGGGCCATGGTGAACCTGCACGGCCATGCCCCAGGTCCCTAGAGGGAACTTCCTCTCGCCGTTAAGCGCTCGCGAAGCACAGAGATCGCGCGCATGAGCGCAACCAGCCAACAATGGCGTCGCGGCAGCCGAGGCGGACGCCGAGGGGGCCGGCTTTATATGAGGAGCAATGAAGAACTAGGTCTTTCACCTGTGCGGGGTCGGCTGAGGCTGCAGTTGTTGCCTTGCGTTTCATGCCGCCGACACACTCGGGCCGCGCGCTCCCGAGTTCGCCGGTGTTGAGTGAGGCGTGCGGTGGGGGGAAGAGGAGGAGGGTGGCCTGGAAAGAACTTGGTGGTGGCTGCCTCTCTCTCTCTGGACTGGGGATGAACTTGTTGGGGGCGAGCTGTTTGCTCCCCTTCTGCGTCTCCTCCGCTCGTGACTATGTTTGCTGCTTTTAGAAAGGGAGACTCTGGGAGACATGACTTTATTTGCCGTTCTTGGCAAGGGAGGGGAGGGAGGGAGAGGGCACTCCTCCGTCTGGTCTCCCTGCACAGAGACCACACTTTTTTTCAAATGCTGAGGACACGTGTCATCTTCTTAATGGACTAAAGCAGTGAGTCCACAAGAAAATTGACACTGTGCAATCATTGAAAACGAGTTTGGCTCAAATGCCATCCGAATAATCACGATTCGCTAGAAGGGTTTATCTAAAAATCTGTAACAAGTTTTCTGGGGTAAAAAACTTTCAAATGTAACTATAATTTGACTACATTGTAACTTATAATACAGTGTAAATATACTGTAACTACGTATAGCTTATATATGCTTTGTTTGTAGCTAATAGAAAATTTTTCATAGCTCAGTTGGTACCCTGTGCGTGGTGTGAACCAAAAGTTCTGGGTTGGATCCCCATCTCTTGTGAGCAGTTTGCTAATTTTTCTCTTAACTCAGCACGAATCTTCAAGTCCATCGAACGGTTGAAAATTCAAAAGTTTCAACCACATAAAACTTTTTTTTTTGCGGGAAACCACATAAAACTGTTGCCAGTTTTTTAGCAAAACCGTTCGGTACATTGTTCCTCCCTCCGTTTCAGGTTATGAGATGCTTTGATTTTGATCAAAGCCAAACTACTTCAAATTTAACTAAATTTATAGTAAAATATAGTAATATTTCTAATATCAAATTATTTTCATTAAATCAATAATTGAATATATTTTCATAATAAATTTGTCTTGGGTTGAAAATGTTATTATTTTTTTCTATAAACTTAGTCAAACTTGAAACGGTTTGACTTTGACTAAAGTCAAAACATTTTTTAACCTGAAACGGAGGTAGTACTATCATATCAAAATAGGGTCACTATGCTAAAATACCTTTTCTCTCCTTTTTATGATTGTTTTCACAGCAAACAAAGGAAAATGCCCCCCCGGAACTACAGCCTCTAAAAAAGTCCATCACCGGTCCCTAAACTTGTACCGTTGTATCATCCCGGTCCCTAAACTCGCAAATCGACCGTTCAGGTCCTCAAACTTGTTCGACTGTGTCATCCCGGTCCCTAAACTTGCAGATCACTCGTTTAGGTCGTTCAACTTGTTCAGTTGTGTCACCCCGGTCCCTAAACAGGACGGTCTAAAAACTTTATATAAAAAATAATTTATAACTTTTTCATGTGAACTCTAATGAAGAAAAACTTTATATCAAAATTGTAGCCCTCGACGCGACCTACAACTTTGTAGTTGAAACGTTTTTGAATTAAAACTGTTTAGGGTCCCAAAATATTGTTGCATGTTTATAGATTTTGAAAATTTAATTTTAAAATTACATTTTGAGACAAAAAATGACTTAAAATAAAAAAAAAATCAATTACAAAGTTGTAGATCGCGTCGAGGGCTACAAGTTTGATATAAAGTTTGTCTTCATTAGAGTTCACATGAAAAAGTTATGAATTGTTTTTAAATATAAAGTTTTTAGACTGTACTATTTGACCCAGATGATATTCAAATCCAAGTTTAGGGACCTGGGTGACACAACTGAACAAGTTGGAGGATCTAAACGAGTGATCTGTAAGTTTAGGGACCGGGATGACACAGTCGAACAAGTTTGAGAACTTGAATGGTCGATTTGCGAGTTTAGGGACTGAGATAACACAACGATATAAGTTTAGGGACCGGTGATGGACTGGATGTATCTGGAGTGATTGACCTGATTCATTCCAAAAGTTAGTATTTTGTGGGATCAAGGGGACTGGGAGCATGTTGAACGGGACAGATGGGATCGATATCAAGAAGGCCACCACCCATCATGCTTCGCCGCCTACTCCTCCGCACACAGCACACTACCATCTGAGTGCCTCCAATCGCCGCCAGTCTGCCTCTGATGACTGATCCCTCTTCCAAACCGTTACCCTTTGGAGGGATCGATCTATCCCTTGCGGACATTCACTGTTTTGGTTTGTTTTCATAGCTGTCTTTATGTCATCACTCGTCACTCAGGAGTAAGGTTATAAGTGGATTGACCCGCGAACTCACTTATTTCGATCTATAAGTGGGATCTATAAGTGGGTTCACATACCAACTCACTTACACTATGCCAAACCATGCTAGCTGTGACGGGCCTAAACCATCATCTCTGACGGATTCGGCCCCTCGTCAGAGATTAGTGGTCAGTGATGACTCTCTTCACCTTTGACAGGTGAAGGGTCGTCAGTGGTGACCAGCCCCTATGACGGGCTATGTATAGAACCCGTCACAGGTAACTATTATCTCAAACGGCCCATTAGTTTGTGAGCCGTCAGTGATGTCTATAATCCAGAAAAAAAAAAGAAAAATAGATTGCAACCTGTCACATGTGTGAAAAAACCCTAGCAAGAAAATTGGCGCACACTGCCATGGTGGTGCTTGCTGTCACCGCATCACCATCACAAAAACTTCAAACTGACCGACAGTTCATCGTCCTCCATCACCGCATCACCATCTCATATAGCAATCATTCACAAAAAGGGATGGCAAGAATTTATCATACAACAATATCATATCATTCACAAAAGGGGCACACTGGCCGACAGTTCGTCATCCTCCATGATGGACCAGCGACGGGAGACGCAGGTGGAGGCGCCGCGCTCGCAGCGGCCGGGGAGACGGCGGAGGATCTCAAAGAGGCACTCCTCTGCTGCTGCACCACCAAACAAAAATCAAGAAACAAGAAACCACCATTAGAGCCCACATTCTCAAACCAAACACCTCAAATCAACAACAACAACAACAAGAAGATTTAAGTAAAAAAAAAACAACAACAAGAAGAAACCTCACCGAGGTGGCCGGTGGGTGGGGATGGAGGAGGCGGTACCTGGCGTTCAGATCAGCGCATCCCCGGCCTCGTGGAGGCCGGATCCGGCGGCTAGCGCGGTCGGTGGCGGAGGTGAGGGAGGCGTCGGTGGCGTTGGCGGCCGGGAGGCGGGGGGAGGCACCAGCGAAGGTGGAGGCGTAGGTGGCGGCCGGCTAGCGCGGGCGGAGGCGGAAGCGCGGCTAGAGGTGTCGCTGGCAGAGGCGGTGGAGGTGGAGACCACTGCCGCCGTCGGGCCTCAGCCGCCACTGCACCACGGCTCCAGATCCGTCGTCTGTCGTCGCGCCTCCCCTCCCGCCCCTGCCGGATCTGGCGGCCGGTTCAACTGGAGGACAATCTACACACAATCCAATTTTGCCAATTGAATCGCTTTTTCAATATTTCAATCTAGTTCTAGTCTAGTTTGTCCATCGTTGTCGATTTGCGCCATAAATCGTTCGCCTTTGCTGCGAGAGTGCGAAATCCTTTGTAGGTTTGTCCCATAAACCTTCCGTTTGCCCATGAGACGGGTAGTTATCTATTGTTTTGTCTAAATCGGCTCCGAGAGCCGGTTTAATCTATCAAAACCCATCTTGGTCTAGTTTTTGCTAGATTGGGGTGGTTGGCGATTCTATATCACGGCAAGGCGTTTAGGTGTCTCGATCGTGATTGTCTTCTTGCCAAAAAAGTTGCCAACATGATTTTTTGCCACTCCGCTTGGGACGTCTTCATCTACATTATGACCAAGCCGGAGATAGATCCTACCAATATCCTCCCCATCTCATTGGAGGATTTGGATGAGGAGCAACCTCGGGAGATTGAACAACATCTAAAGGCGACACAAGAAGCACTTTTGGCGGGTTGCTTCATCAAGACTCGTCAAGGAATTGTTCGTAAGCCCGGTTCTACACCAAAAGTCACCGTCAACGAGGTAAGTGGTGATGATATTGCTCTTCTGGTTCAAAAGCTCGTAGCAAGTTCCATAAATGAGACTGTTAATGCTACTTTTAACAATAAGCTTGAACATGCTATGAGTTGTTATTTTTATAAGTGGATTTAATCTTTTATGAATTCCAAATTCAGTTCTCTTATGACCGATTTGACATCTACTTCTGTTGCAAGTACTAGTCAACCTCCTGTTCACCACATATTTAGTAAAAATGATGGGGCAACCATGCAACATGCTGGGAGTGAAAACCCTAGCGCTGCTGTATGTTCAAGTGACTTAATTTGGTTTTGGTGATTAATGACAAATCTAACTATATGAGACTAATGTTTTTATGAGTCTTTCTTTGACTAGTCTCATTTGGATATGAAAGTAAAAATGATGAGAGGTATGTATTAAACTTCACATATTCTAATTTGGTCTCTCTTGTGGATCCAAAATATAGTGTGAGCTTCCTCTTTGATCTTTATTGATTATGTGCATATGCGTTCCTTCATATCCATATGTATGCACATCTTGAGGGAGAGCTTATTCTATATTTTATTTATTATAAGATCTCTACCTTGATTTGGAATCATCTTTCATCTCATCTCTCTATATTGTTTATATCGGGTTATTATCTATCACAAAAGAGAGAAAAGATTGAAAGATCTTGGATTAAACAATTTGTGTAATTGTTGCTTTGGTGATAGATGATAAACCGATGTTTATGGGATTAACATATCTTTTAAATAAGTTGTCAACTAGGTTAATTCTCGATAACGAGATGTGGTAGATATGCATTCTTTGCTGATGGACCTTAATCATGACAAGGATGAAATGCATGGAGATAAAGCGATATGTATCACTTCTTATCTCATACTTGTTGATAGTCTCCTTTACTTTGAGAACATGGAGATCATGAAGGTATGTGTTTTTGTTTATCTTTATCATTGCTACATGCCTTCTCCATGTATATAGGATAAACCCCATTGGTTTTTCTTTATTTATGCATACACTTGCCTCTCTTGTATATTTCTTTGTATGCATATATTTAGGGGGAGCAAATCCTATACATTTATTGTGCATGTTCTAGATTCATGTTGTTCACCTATTATTTATATTGGATCTTTACACTTAAGCTTGCATATGAGTATATGACGCTTGTGGTGTTAATGAATACTCA